CATGACATTGACAATTCAATTGATTTGCTGCGACCATTTCAAAGGACACAGTGGATATACATACATACGCATGGATATAATATCATCAAAGATAATAAAGGAAAAAACACCGATTATTGTTACCGACGGGAAAGATAGTACATGGAAAACAGTGTATGTAGAGGAGACGCAAACACCTAAAGTCACACACACACACACACACACACACAAAGACAGTACTATGCTAGCTAGCTCGTCGGTGACATGGACAATTCAATTGATTTGCTACGACCATTCGAATGACACAGTGGACACACAAACATATATGGACGAATAATTTCTTCAAGATAAGAAGAAAAAATCGTATACATACCGGTGTGTTCTTGTTTTGTTCATGCATGCATGTTGGATGGACCAAGTGTATCAGCAGTATGGCTTTTTGTTTGCTGCATGATGTCGACAGGCTCCCCCATCAGTTAGGCCGATCTATGAAGGCATGTGCTTAGTTCTATATTCAATTATTTATCATATCATGAATTTAAACAATACGATAAAACGATTGAGACAGGTTTCTCTGCATGGATAAAAACGACAAGAATAAGAAAATAGAAAAAAGAGATGCATATAGTTACCAAGCAAAACCAACTGTATGTCACTCTCTTCGCCCTTTGTTCCTGAATGCACGACCCATCCAAGTCTGCTGACATCCCATTTGTTGACCATTCGAGGCCTTGACTTGGCTGATTTATGGATTTAAGTATTCGAACTTAGAGAATGCTTTCTTTCATGTACATTCCTTGTTTGGCCTTTCCCAGCAAGATGAAATGCATGAAACGCTTTCACTGCCTTTGATACGACCCATCTCTAGCTGTTCATTGGTGTTGGCTGCCACGATAGCAAGGAGGGCAAGGATGAGGAACGGTTGTGATGGTCAATTGGTCATGACTACTGCTACTTGGCATTGATGTTTGTGTCGTGTTTGTGTGATGCCCAGCATTTTGGGGGCGTGTTATAACGGCTTTAGCCTGGTTTTCCGGTAATTTTAAGGACAATTCTCTTCTTAATTAATGAATATCGCACTATAGAATCTGGTTTCAAAAAAGAAAACTTGATGTCACTCTTAATTAATGGCCGCGATGGCATTATCTCTTCCTTTCTTTGCATTCGCAATTGATTTCGTGTGTTTTTCCGGCGCATTGAGCAGTGGACATGCAAATGCTGGGTTTGCACTCGCTGTGGTTGTACCACCTTGATGCGAAGATTGAATGAAATTCCATTCGTCAAAAAATCTTTTCATTTTGCATTCCTCAATGTTTTGGATGCTTCTGAAACGGATCATTTTGTATGCTCTATTATGTTGCACTACCCACAAGTTTAATATGGGATCGATCATCAAAGTTGCCTGGCTAGTTGTGCAAAAGATCATATGAGTGTCAGGAAAGCATGGTACTTGATATATCTTACTCACCTTACTTTTTGAGGGGAAAATGACTTGCCTTTTTCACTTTACATGCCAAACCCTTATCAAGGTTTTATTCTTTATTGCGGCCGGCGTATGGAACTTTGTACGGTTGTGTAGAGCTAAGTATGTGGTCTTCTGTGGCTTGAGATAGACAAGATTAGTAAAGCTTGAGTTTTTTTTTTCTGGAACGAACTTTGTTGTGTTTCCTAAGGTGATAAGAGAACATGGCATTGGTAGAGCATGACACCACTCGTCAAGATTCTAATCCAACAAGAAGTTGAACCATTTAACTTATTGTTATTTAGTTTGCTGATGACAGACATGCAGAGACGGTGAGAGTGAGGATATTTGTTCTCTAGATAATGGAAGAACATATAACTTTTCTACTTTGTGTGTGAGCGGTACCTGGTGAGGTCAACTAGCAGGCAAATGCTCAATGCTCTCTTTTCTAACGAAGGTTGTTCTTAACTACTCCCTCCGTCCAATAATATAAGACGTTTTTGCAAGCTAACATAGCTAGCAAATGTTAGATTTAATCTTGATATTTTGTATCCGTATTTTCATTTTAGTTCTACATGTAGCTACAGTATGTGTAGTGTGTGCAGAAATACGTGAGATGTGTGTGAGTCGCTGGTTTCATTCAAGAAAGATCATGCATGGCAAGAGGCCTGTACCGGGCGAAGCTGGCGTAGCAGTGAGAAGCGGTGCACAGAGACCGGGCAAGTAAGTAGTGGTTTGTTACGGCGCATGCGCGGAGTTAGTTGCGCTGGTGGCGTGACTTAGTGCATGGAGTTGTGCTGTCAGTGACCGAGTGCCATGGCCGGTTAGTGCGTGCATGTGTGTATTTAATAGATGTATGCATATTTGCTTTATGTCAAGAGAAATATAGAGAAGAAAACGTCGGACCGTGTTGTAAGAAGCAACTTGAGGTGAAATAGGGGCTGAGAGACTTAGCTGCAACAGCAAAAACATGTTATATTGTGGGACGGAGGGAGTAGTTCCGAATTAGATGGAGGATCAGCTGCCCACCTTTGATTAATCCATGCATGCATCTGAATTATCCAAATTCAGAAATTCAGCAAGAAATCCTGAATAGATCCAACCTGAAGATTGAACGTGGTGCAGTGGGGGAACATAGGAGCTGTAAATGTAATTCGCATGCACTGATCAACTAGGTTAAGTTATTCGGGCATCCATTGTTGAACTAGCGCTAGCCAGAGCCATAAGTAGGATGATGATGTGAATAAGGCACGCGCCCAATCTCAAGTTTTTGGGTTTGTGCTCATGTTGCATATTTCGCTTTCCATCAAGAAAAAATTGTGGTATAGGATAACATAATGAAACTAACGAAAAAGAATATACGGATGCAACAACTAAGGTCATATACCCACCACACAAATTGTGTGTGTTCTAGCTTCTTCTCCTTTGTTCTACTGAGTTGAGGCATCGATTTGCCGCAACTTCTCAAAGGACATATAGACAAGGCGAAGAACTAAATAAAGTTGCATAGCAAAATTATCAAAAAAGCATGATCCCAGAGATACACAGTAAATTTCACATGATCCCAACATATAAATCTCAAGAATATAAATTTCACATGATCCCAACATATGTAACATATCCCAGGTCAGCAATGATTGAGCCCAGGCAAACTAATTAACAAGCAGCAAGAACCAAACAGACAGAAAGAGCAAAAGGAACAGCTAGAACAGGATGAAGCAGAGTACTCTACTACTCATGATGAGGAGCCGAACTCGATGCGGACGCCAACGACAACGAGGAAGAAGGCATCAAGGGCGAAGAAGATGATGGTGTGGATGAGGATGGAGACGACACTGGTGTGGAATTTGCCGCACTCGATCGTCCGCGATTTGCCAGGGATCTGAAAGACAAGCCCTGGGGACAGAAGGATGAAGAGCATGAAGGAGATGAGCACCGGACTCCAGTCCTGCATCTTCTTCTTCTTCTCTTCTAGTTCTTTGGGATGATGATGATGATGATGATGATGAGTACTCAAGCCAGCTACAGCTATGCTTCTAGAGCGAGATAGAAGATGGCCTTTTCTTTATTTATGGATGGCTTTCCATCCTTGTTGTGAATTATCCCTTATGTATGTACTGCCTGGACAGCAGGGAAAATGGAGTGGTCTCTAGAAAGTTTTGTTTCTGAAAGAACTTGTGGTTTCCATAATATGCAGAACGAGACTAGCTTCTTTATTCTGTGGAAGAGGGAGGAAGCAACCAATCAGAGTGGCATCTCAATCAGAGTGGCATCTCAATCAGAGTGGAAAAAGAGTGGCTTCCTTCCTTTGTCTGTTTGAGTTTTTTCTGCACAAACTTAATTAATTAATGCATTTTCTGGACAGCAAAATTTCCTCGAGGATATGGACAGAAATGACAAATTGCCCGCTCTCTACAGTCAAAACCAACAGTAAAATCTTAAATGGACCACATTGACACCAATGCCATATACTATTTAGAACTAGTTGTGAATCATCTCAAGAAGGTCAAATTTCAGAAGGCTCGCCATTAAAGAGTTAGTTTGTGGTTAGTCCTTAGTTCCTTACTCCTTACCTTAATAGGGATCTAGCTCAGTCTGACGTTTACAACCATTTGGTTATTTTGAAGGTTATTTTGCTACATACAAAGCTAGTTAATGCATAATATTGTGGTTAGGAATGAACATCTCCACGTGTGCCCGAATAGAAACACCGACGAATAACACTATGCAGAAAATAACTTAGTTTGCCTTTTATTTCCCAAGTTTGAACTAGTGCCAGTCTAGTCCACACATGATAATGCATGGCACTTTATTTTTCACCGCTACATGGATCGGACCATTGACTAAACAATGCTGGTCCGTTTTTCGGATACTAGACCTCTCAGTAGCCGCCCATGCCGGTAGTGACGTCAATGGATGGTGATATGGTGGTGTAGCAGTATGGTGGAACATGCACGTCGCACATTGCCGGAATGGTCTGAATCACCCATGTCCCTATCACCGCAATCCAACCCTGATCCAGTTGTGTTTGTTGTTGTGGCTGGCTAGAACCCTGACCTTGTTGTTGTTGACCTTGTTGTTGTTGCTGCTGAGGTTGGGTGGAAATACCTTGTACCAATTGTTGTTGTTGTTGCAAAATGATGGCGTGCACGACGTTGTGGATGGCCTCACATCTTGACTGCTTGGGGATCGCTTTTAGTTGCTGACAACACTGCTCCCACATTACCAAGCAGCTCCTAGGTTGCACCGCCTGTGACCGGAGGAACGACATATCAGCAACTGGGCTACACTGTTGTAGGAGGGCATCCCTGCATGGGTTCAACTTTTGATGTGGAACTGGTTGTTCTTGTGGCTGTGGAGTTGGTTGCTGCTCTGGAGATGATGGATGGTGCGGCTCCCAAGCAGCACGGAATGCAGTAAAGGGTTCGGCGGCCGTGGAGGTCGCCGCGACAACAATGAGGGCAAGGACGAGGAATTTCTTCATGGTTGATTTGTGTTAGATAATGTTTGTTCTCCAGTTGAGTGAATGGTGGGTGCTGGAGGAGTGTCTTGATTGTTTAGGCCTATTTATAACTGACATGGCATCACCTTTTTTCATCTTTGCATTTCCTTTTCTTAAAAGTGCATGGATGCTTCTCGGACTCTAACATTTGGTATGTTGCGTTAGGTGCAACTGCTTACAAGCATATACTTGCACTGATCATCGAAGTTCTTTGTTGTTGCATGTATCATTCCTCTATCAACAAATCTTGATAATTGACATAACTCATCTTATTTACTTTACATGTCAAACGTCGATCCGGATTGCAACATTTTCTAAAACTGGGTTTGTTATATTCTACAAGTTGTTACACATAAACTAGATTAGCTTGTCTTGCACCAAACTAAGTTTGTAATCTTGTGTGGCCTGTAAAGATACATAAGACTAGTATAGTAACTTGCAAAAGTAGACGATGACATCATTTCATCGAATTCCTTTACATGTCAAGGATTGTAATGTTGTACAGGATTAGTATAAGGATTTACACGTAGGTACATATGAAGGTTTCTTCAAGATTCCGTCAGTTTGTCAAACTAAGTCTGTAGTGTTGTGCATATCGTTAAGATAATCAAGTATTGTTTGCTGAATTTGTTCAAGATTGTTCATGACAAGTGTTGGGACTAGGAATGATACAGAGCATTTGCAAAGCATGTGCGTCCACTTTTTTTTGCATTTCTTGAGGGAAATTATAGTACAATTTAGCAGATATTAGTATAAATAGATATATCCAAACATTTCATCAATCCGCAAGAAAATTCACAAGGCATTATCTATCATGAACAAAGCAAAAAAACATGTTAAGGAATGTTAAATTAATCATGTCCTCTGCTAATTAAGTGTTGTTTTCTTCTTTGGGTTTGTTGTAATAATAGGCAGGTGCATAGGCCATGCCTTGAACACTATTGTATCCTTGACTTGCTGGGAACAACATTCAGCAGTGGCCATGGTGTCCACCATGATACTGAGACCGAGGGAAGCTTGCTGGCCAACAATTGGGCATCTTTTAAAATTGTGTCGAATATGTGTATTGGGCTACTATTAGACTTGGAGTATGTGGAGCATCAGGTGTTTCAGTCAGACACGTGTAACCGAGTACTATTATATAAGGTACCACACATAGCCAAAATATACTAGGCATAAGTTACGCTATGACAGATATCACGAGAGGGACGGTCCGCACACTTGGCAGGGGTGCATGGCAAAGGTGGTTGGAGTGCTGTCTGGGCTTATCGTCAACTTGTATCATGTGATGGTACATGGGGAGGTGCGCCCGTAATCATGCCATGGGGATTAACCACGATGTTGAACCTTGTTAAGAAAACATCGTGTGTCCCGTCTAGTTTTCTGCAATGAACTACTACGTAGTTTATAATAAGTGGTGTCATGAGCTATGGTTGTGGGGATCGTATCATCGTGTAGAGGCGCGTGGTCGGCGCTCCCAATGCGGATCTGACGGGTGGCGGCGTGAGGACTCCGATGGCCTTGTGGTTTCGATCGGCTGCCCAAAGGGCAGGCGGTCGGTTCTCGCCGTCTCTAGTGTGAGCATAGAGATGATCTGCACAGGGAGGTTCCTGTGGTGCTCCGGATCTGCCTAAGGCATGAGGCCTGCCAACTCCAAGACCCGGTCTGGATTTCTGCGGGCCTACGACGAAGGGGTCCTTCATGTGTCACAAGTCTGAGGCCTCATGTCCTACCACGTGTCATGGAGGTTCTAGGCTGGATAGGTTGTCGGGGTTTTGGGTTTTATGGTTAGGCTACCAGCAAAAGCCATACTCTGGTTATAGTCATAGTCATCGATGGTGGTGCCTACGGGCATCGTTCCCTTGTTGGAGGCATCGATGTTGATGTCCTCCCCCATCTCCCATCATACTACGAGGGAAAACCTAGATCTGATCTCCTGGATGGGACGATGACAACGCTTCTGGCTTTGCTTAGTGTCGTGTTTCCTCTTCGGGCATTGTCTTGGAGTTAGACTCGGCAGGATGGACTCAAGACTCGTGGAGGTGGTCCGCGGCAGCTTGCGTGACCTCCACATGCAAGGTGAGTCAGGCGAGCTATGTTCGCCAACCTCACGGGATTGAAGTGGCATATGTCTGCTCTATCAGACATAGTGTTCCTCTTCGATATCATCAAGCTTCATCGATATGGTAACTGTGGCATCCCATATTGATACAGCGGTTTTGGTGTGCTCTCTGGTAGCAGAGAAGGCACTTGAGTGATCAGCCATGTATGTTTTGGGGTGTTAGCTTTCTGGCATGTTGTATGTTTTGTGCAGCTTTAGGTCTAGTCTAGCTAGGTCTTGTTTAGGTTTTCTCCTGGCTTTCCTTGATTACTCAAGCAGACCTTTTTCATTTCTTATTTGTTTGACACTTGCCTTATGTGGTGCATTCCTCCTTTGGGGGTGTTACCGGTAATATCCCTTTCTAATCAATGGATTGGCATCTCTCCCGCCAACATTCAAAAGAAATCTTACATGGACCAATTGAAGGTCAAAACCCATAATGCTCGCCATTAAAGAGTTGGTTTGTTGTTAATCCTTACTCCTTAAATAATTACCTTAATAGAGATTCGGCTCAGTTCAATTTTTACAAATGTGCTACATACAAAGCTAATTAATGCATATATTGTTTTTTGGACGAACAACTCAACATGTTCATGAACGGAACACCAATAGATAATCTATATGCATCAAAGAATATATATCTTTTCTTTTATTCATTTTTCGGCACTGCATGGATAGGACCATCGACTAACAACGGTAGTCCATCTATCGAGTATGAGATCTCTTGTCTTCTCATTAGCCACTCATGCTAGTATATATAGTGACGTTGCTATGCTGATGAGGTGATAGAGCAGTACAGTGTGACGTGGATGTCGCACATTGTCGGTAGAGTCTGAAGCACCCATGTCCTTATTGTGTCGATCCAACCCTGATTCAACCGATGTTGTTGAGGTTGGATGGAACCTCGACCTAGTAGTTGTTGTTGAGGTTGGACCAAAGTACCTTTCTCCCAATTGTTGTCGTTGTTGCAAAATAATGGCGTGCGCAACATTGTGGATGGCATGGCACTGTGATTGCTTGGGAATACATGACAGTTGCTGACAACATTGCTTCCTTAACACCTGACATCTGCTTTGTTGCACCACCTCTGACTGGAGAAATGATAAAGTTGTCACTGGATTACACTGTTGTAGGAATACATCCCTACATGGGGTTCAATTGTTGTACAAATGGTTGTTCCTGAGCTGGTTGTTCATGTTGTTGTGGGAATGGTTGTTGTTGTGGTTGGGGATAGAGTGGTTGTTGTGGTGGGGGATAGGGTGGTGGTTGTGGAAATTGTTGTTGCCCAAATGGTAATTGTTGTGGTGGAAATGGCTATTGTTGTGGAGCCGATTGCTCCTCTCGAAAGAGTAGTTGTGGTTGTGGAAAGGGTTGTTGTTGTGAAAATGATTTTTGTGGTTGCAACTGGGGTAGTTTCATATCGGTGGTGACTATGGCGATGGTAGCCATAGCAGCAAGAAAGGCAAGCGCAAGGAAGATCTTCATAGTTGATTTATGTTGGATATTGTTTGCTTGGCTTTGATGTTTGTTCTCTAATGTGAATGGTGGATGATGGAGGATCTTGATGGTGTATGCCTATTTATAGCTACCATGGCATTGTTTGTTTTCATCTTTGCAATTACTTTTCTTGGAAAGTGCAGGGATGCTTCTCAACTCATCATTTCGTATGTTGTGTTTGGGGACACTACTTATAAGTGTATTCTTGGATTTCTCATCAAAGTTCTTTGTTGTTGCACATATCACTCCACTGTCACCAAAGCTTTATAAACTAGATGATATCCCGCACGTTGTTGCGGGAATACTTTGCAACATATTTCTATTTGATTCGTCGTTTGAAACATGAATATTTGTTGTAAAATGTTTATTAAATATAAATAGCATGATATAATAAAATTCTCATGTATTTTTGCATGTTTCATGATGAAGTGACATGCTTGCATGTTGAGAGACATATGATAGTGGAGGTGAGGCTCTTCTCATGCATGTTGTGCGTATGATGTGACATGCTTGCATGTTGACAGGAATAGTTAATGGGGGCTAGCTATTTAGATATAGAAGATTGGCATAACTCATGTTATTCACTTTACATGTCAAACATCAATATAGATTGCATCGGAGTCTCTGAAACTAGTTTGTAATGTTCTACGGGTTGTTACTCATAAACCAGACTAGCATGCCTTGCATTGAACTAAGTTTGTAGTCTTGTGTGGCCTGTAACGATACACAAGACTTTATAGTACAGTGTGACTTGCAGAAGTGGAGCATGACATGATTCATCAAAATCCCTTTACATGTCAAAATCTAGATTGCATCGGAGTCTCTGAAACTAAGTTTGTATTGTTGCGCGAATCATTCAGATAATCAGCAGGTTGTGTTTGCTAAATTTTGCTCATGACAAGTGTCGGAACTGGGATTGCCAGGAATGATACCGAGCCTTTACATGGCATAATTTGTTTGCAGCTCTTCAGGGAAATTTAGCAGATAAAAACGAATAGATAGAGATATCCAGGCATTTCATGGATCCGCCAGAAAATTCACAAGGCATTATCTATCATGAGCAATGCTACAAAACAGGTTCAGTAAAGCAATCACATTCTTATTCCAGTCGAACAGTTGATGAATGCCGTATGCCTCTGAGTAGAAATCACGAGTTCAACTCAGCGCGGTCTCTAACTACTTGGAGAAAGACAAGTAACAAGTCCACAGCAAAATCAAGATGCGCAGATGGAAGGTGATAGCCATCTAAATAAAACTCAGACCACTGGAAGCTCCCCGCACTCACTAATGACCACCTTCTTCTTCGGACGGTCACCTCTGTCGGTCTCTGATGACTCTATCGTCCTTACGATGTCCATGCCTTCAAGAACCTGGCCAAAGACAACGTGTCTCCCGTCCAGCCACGGTGTCTGCAAGCAAGGTAGGAGAAACCTCAATCGGGGATTTATATGAACTTCAAACTTAGCAATGGAAAAAAGGGTACTATTATTCAAATGGACTGACTGATAGCAGGAAGTAAACAATTAATTACCTTGACTGTGCAGATGAAGAATTGGCTGCCGTTGGTGTTCGGTCCAGCATTCGCCATGCTGAGCACTCCAGGTCCAGTATGAACCACTAAGAACATTAAATAATATATAATCAGTTAGCATATAATCTGAAGCAAAGATTGAGTGACAAAGGTTCATTGCAACACATACATTGGAAGTTCTCATCCTTAAAGGTGCGGCCATATATGCTTTTCCCTCCAGTACCCTGAAATATATCAGTTTCTAGTTATTCAATGCCATTGTTGGAAGCTGTCTGTTTCATTTTAGGCAATCTGAAGTCTCAAAGTACTTCAGCCAGCCATGCATAAGTAGATCAAAATGCAGATGAAACACATAATCATGTATGCCTCAATATGGGAAAGGATGGCGCGATGGCAATCACCTTGAATTCTTACCACAAGGCCACTGACAACAAAACAGAGTAGGATGCACTTGTGCAAGTTATTAATGACAATCAAACATGGATAAGATCTAGGATCAAAATGCAGCACGATAACAAATTGAATGCCGGTACACGAGCAAAGCTAGTAGTAAAGGATTTAAACTCCCTATCCTTCTCCCCCAGTCCCTCTGGTCCGTAAAATAATGCTTAAACAGCAGAGTACTCAAATAGCTAAACTATACAATTCAGAAGAAAAGGAGAGGAAGAACTAGCATAACTATCAACAAACAGAAACAGGTACATTCATGTGAAACGATTACGTGCAAAACAGGTAGTACACTCTTTAGTTTTTCTTAATGCAATCGCAATACGGCATAAGCATGCACGTGCAACAAACAAGAATAGATGAAGGTAGGAAACGCATACGTTGCCCTTGTCAAAGTCTCCCCCCTGAATCATGAAGTCCTTAATGACACGGTGGAAACTTGATCCCTTGTATCCGAACCCTTTCTCCCCTGGTACAAAAAGGAGAAATTGGTCATATACCTCATCAGAGCAATCCTTTACAGATGGGATAACAGAACAGGGCTCCAACAGTCCCTCGTACCAGTGCAGAGAGCACGGAAGTTCTCAACGGTTTGGGGAACATCATCCCCATACAGCCCGATGACAATCCTCCCAACGTTCTTCCCGACAGGGTTGCCAATGCTTATGTCAAAGTACACCTTGTTTGTAACTTTGGACTGAAGCTCAGGTGCCTGCAATGCATGATGAAAGAACAGCTTCAAACACCATGAAATGTATGACATATAATAAGGTAAAAGACACCCACCAATGCAACCACAAAAACGGCATATTGTGTAAACCATACAGTGGCACATTTATTCCCTTAGACGGCCGGCGACTAACAGTAACTGGACATAATAAACTAAACACTAACACATGCTGATGGTACTCTGCATCTAACACTGGCATAACCCGGCGGTTATCATAAGTGATGATAAAACCTCAACTTGCAAATTTGTCCACGCACACAAAAAAATTCAGTTAGTGACCTGATTTTTCGCATGAAAATTACAGATACCAAATAACATAAGGAATGGCATGGAAGTCACATCCGAAGGCACACACTACATGTCTACTAGACTGCAATGGGCTTCCTGGCTGAACCAGCAGCGGTGCGCCAGATACGCAGGCTTTACACAGGTAGCGGCCACAGTACCTAGATAGAAACAGCTGCACATTTGATTCCTCAGACCACTGACGACTAACACTAACTGAACCTAATGGACTAACATAAACACATGGCATGCCCGTCGTGCACAGAGCCTAATGTTTATTACAGAAGGAAGTAACTGACGGTAAATCTCAACTTGCATTTCTTCACACGAAAACTCGGGGAGTGAACTAATTTTTCTCATGAATATACCAAATTGTGTGGATGTTCGCATCGGAAGGCAAAGGATACACGTCTACTAGATTGCAATTTGGTAATAGATATGCAAGCTCCACATAGATTGCGGCCCTTGTGGCCAGATAGATAAATAGATAAATAAATGCTGAATCTTTACATAGGGTTCGGCGCTGGCGGAGGCGACGAAGCGCGCGCGGCTCTGCTGGGAGACGGAGAGGGCCGGGGACGCGACGCGGACGCCGCGGAGGGAGAGCGCCGACGAGGGGGCCTTCGAGGCGAGGAGCGCCCTCTGCGCCGCCGGCCCCGCCGCCGCCGGGCGGGCGATGGCCTGCAAGAAAGAACAGCACACACAGCACAAGATTCAGGCGGAGGAGGAGGAGGGAGACCAGGCGGGTCCGAGCAGAAGGGGGGAGGAGGAGGAGGGGAGGGAGCTCACGAGCGTGGCGAAGGAGGAGGTCGCGGCCGCCATTGGAGGGTGAGGAGAAGGTTTGTTGGAGGGGACGGAAGACTCTCTGCAGATAACCAAAAGGATGAGCTTTTTATTCTGCTTCCTCACTCCCCTGATGCCGGTGGAACTATTGATTCGAGTCCTTCTAGTTCATCCTATTTGCTTACCCAGGTCCCTGGGTTAAAACAGGGGTGAGATTGAGATACCCATGGTTAAACCTTCTATGAAGTTTGGCCGTCCATCTGAGCCGTCGAGTGATGCATTGCGTGTTTATCGTGGACATATAATTAATGAGCTCATTTTGTGGAAAGGGTCATACATGACAGGTGCATTTCAATGCGTTCATTCGTATCAGCTCTAGAGGATTGATCCATCGGCTTGGTCGGTGCTACATATATATTGTACCACAACCTTTCTCTTCTTATCACTCGCCGATATCGCCGGCTGGCGGGATGGCGGTGCTGGTGGCCACGATGCAACATGGCATCACGCGCACGTCGCACATTGTAGGCAGGGTTTGAAGCGCGGTGCTCATCGTCGCCTCAAACTGGACTAGTCGTTCCTGCTGACGCTAGGGGGAACCGTGTCCTAGTTGTGGTCGTTGTTGCCGTTGCTCTTGTTGCTTCTCGATGATGATGGTGTGCACTAGGCCACATATGGCTTGGCATCGGGATGGCATAGGGATCCGGGTGAGTTGTTGGCAGCATTGCTGCTGCCTCACTTCGCAGCCGCTTTTCGTCAACACCCGTGATTCAAGGAATGGTGGTGTTGCCACCACGATGTGCAACTGTTGGATGAACACTTTGCACGGGGTCAACTTTTGATGAAGTGATGGATGGAAGGTTTCTTGAGGCTGTTTTGGAAAAGATTCTTGTGGCCGCTTCAGGACTAGTTGTGGTTGCTGTGGAACTGGCTGCGAAAATGGTTGTTGGGCAATGCCAAGGTGGCAGGCAGCTCTGAGAACTGATTATGTTTTTGCCATGTTCACATGCTTGCAACTGTATTTTCTGATCCCTTTTGGCTCAAGGTCACTAAGGGACTTTTGTTAAGCTCTTTGAGTAGCTCCATGCCATGCTTTACTTTGTCATGTTCAGGTCCTGTAGCATATTGTTTTCATGCTCCAAAGAGTGCTATCTGATCTGAAATTTCAGACAAGCGTTAATTTCACTAAGTCTGAAATCTGTTTACCAACTTTCAGCAGCAGTTATGGAAGTTGAATTTCTATTAAAGTGTCTAACTGTGGTTTTAGTTTTTTTGGTTTCATTTTTTCATGAAGAATTTGTGAATTGTGTATTCCGATATATTTCGGTGGCTGAAAATGAAATGAATTTGACAAGAAAATATTACTTCCGCTAAATTTAGGAGATCGGTTAGGTGCAGCCAAAACTTAGTTGAGTAAATTTACTCCACAAATCTTTTACTCGGCCGATTACACTGCTATTTTTTTAGGGCATCAGTTAAAGATACACTTTACATGAACAAATTTGGACCATAGAATATACTTGGTACACCCACTGTTCCTTAATATAGGACATTTTGGCAGTTCAATTTAAACCGTCAAACGTCTTATATTTATACACATAGGTAGTAGAACATAGACCACTCGTGTTTTAGTTTCAACTATCATTAATTGTTGGAACATAGATCATTTGGGTCTAATCGGGTTAATAGTTCTTTCAGTTTCCACTACCATTAATTTTTGGATGGGCTCAGGGATCTGTGACAGATTTGTTTGAATTTATATTAGTTCCGGGCTACAGATTTTTCAAAAACAAATCATAGTTTTATCATTGTGACAGTTCGTACAAGGTAGAATATCTTGTTTTGCTTAGTTTTAGTAGTTTGCTGGGCTATGTGGTCAACAATTGATCACACATTCTACTCAAATTTATATCCTACTATTTGTTTCCCACACTTGTCTTTCAAACTATCCACTGCTTACGTTGATTTTCAACTTTAACTATGCAAGACACGAGTACAATAGTAAATTTGTTTAGCTCAAAACTATTATATCCTGTTGAGTTATATAAATGTGTGAACATGTAACAGTTGGGGGCTAAGATGTAACAGACGATATCGATGTAGAATATAGAGAGGAGGCTGGATAAGGCGCTCCAGTTTTTCCCATTCCAGTTCTTACGAGAGTGGTTCTTCTACACCCACTCTCGGTGCACCCACGGTGCATCCACGCAAGAAAACATATCAAAACATTTCGAAAAAATCTAAAACTTCGTGGAAATGATCATCAACAAATGTTATGGGGGCTTGCAAAATTTGGTGGTCAAATAACATTCGAGGAGCTCTCTACAAAAAAGACAAAATCACTGAAAATTAGTCAAAATGTACGTGCACTGTTTGAGCAGATTTTGCAATTTTGTCTTTTTTGTAGAGCGCTTCTCGAATGTTATTTGACCACCAAACTTTGCAAGCCCTCATGACATTTGTTGATGATCATCTCTACAAAGTTTCAGATTTTTTTCGAAATGTTTTGATATGTTTTCTTGCGTGAGTGCACCGTGGGTGCACCGAGAGTGGGTGCAGCCACTACTTTCCCCAGTTCTTACTCCTACAATATTTCCTTGATTCAGAACATATCCTTCTAAGGAACTTTCTACACAGACTGATTTCTCATCTGTTTGGAGACCATAACCGCAAATGCAATATTTGCTTTGTGTTCATAGATTGAGACAAGTCAATATCACAATGCATATTTAAAGAGATAACAACTGAGTTATTCTACAGGTAAAAGAAATTTCTACAATCAATTAAAACTAATGCAACTTATGCTTTGTTTGTCATATATAAATTGTTTCCATCTCTGCACGAAATCATATCAAGTGTTTGGTTCTTGCTATTGTGACTAATTATTTTCTCTTGCTCACCGCATGGTTTATCTTTTACCATGTGGCAACTTTGGTTTGATTTTCACCTCTTTGGAGTCCCCTAAAATTTGCTTTTGAAGAATGCTTCGGTGCCACCAAACTCAAAATTGCACCAATGCAAAAATATTCAGATTAACATTTAGAGTGATGGATGGTTTCTAATCAGCCTCTTGTTTTGGTGCTAAAATTGCCCTTTCACTTCTAGACATTGAAATACATTGAATTATTATTGTGTGCAATGTTCAGGAAATCCCTAACTGATAGCGCTCGGTCGGCTTGGGAGCAGTAACTAATATATCAATCAACCTATTAACTGGATTAATACATCAACCATTAATCGATAGATTAAATAGTAACCTGCCAGCAGAAGTAGCTAGCTATTGATGTGTAAGGCTAGGATTGCGGTTAGGAACGAACATGAAAATAAAAAGTGAATGGAACAGTGAAAAGGGAAGCTAGCAAACAAGAACTTTGTTTGTGTTTTATTCTGAAGCTTGAACTAGCTCTGGTCGGGGTCACACATGATGGTGCACGCCACTTTATTCCTCATCGCTACAAAGACTGGTGCATCAGCTAAGCAACAATGATCCATCTACCTATTAGCATAACTCTTCCATTTTTCATTGTCCACTGATGCCGGCGACTATGCTAGCAAATGGTGCGTTGATGGTGGAGCAGTCAGGTCGGACATACACGTTGCACATGTTTGGAAGGGTTCTCAATACCAATGACCTGATCACCTCATATTGAGCTGGTTGTTGAGGTTGGATGATGCCCTGACCTTGGACGAGCTGAAACAGTGGCCGGAGGATCTGTATGCCTTGTTGTTGTTCTTGCTGCATGATGATGGAATGCACGACGCTATGGATGGCTGCACACTGGAGCTGGCGAGGAATCTGTGCTAGTTGTTGGCAACATTGTTGCTGCATCACCTGGCAATCACTTCGTGGCAAGATCATTGACACGAGGGATGACACCAATGACACAGGGTTGCATTGCTGTAAGAGGTAATTCTTGCAAGGGTTCATCTGTTGTTGTAGATATGGCTGAATCAACGGTTGTTGTTGCTGGGGGAATGATTGTTGCGGTTGTTGGGGCTGGGGAAAAGGTTGTTGTGGTTGCTGTGACTGGGGAAATGGTTGTTGGGGTTGTTGAGGCTGGGGGAATGGTTGTTGTGGTTGTTGAGGAAATGGTAGTTGGGCTTGTTGGGGCTGGGGAAATGGTTGTTGTGGTTGCTGGGGCTGCGGAAATTGTTGTTGTGGTTGTTGGGGCTGGGGAAATTGTTGTTGTGGTTGATGGGGGAATATTTGTTGGGGTTGGGGAAATGTTTGTTGTGGTTGCTGGTAGAATGGTTGTTGGGGCTGGCGGAATGGTTGTTGTTGTGGCCATTGTACTTGGCCGCTGGGGTCGACCTGCATATTCGCGGTGGCGATAGTTGTTGCCATCGCAAGGATTGTTAGGATGAATAAGGTCTTCATGGTGGATTTGTGTTGGCTACTACTTAATTGGATTTGATACTTGTGCTCTAGTTGTGTGAAGGATGGATGATGGTATGGAGTCTACATATTGCATCCTTTTTATAGCTACCATGGTTAGGTTTCTTTTCATTATAGCTTTTATTTTTTTAAAGTGATTTGATGCTTATCAAACTGATTATTTGGTGTGTTGTGATTGGTGGCACTACATACAAATGTAATTTTGGAGTGGTCATCAAAGTTTCCTTTTATTGTACATATCATCTAAGAGTGACGAAAACATGATAATTGGCACTGACTCATCTTATCGACTTTACATGTCAAACAATTATCTGGATTGCAATCCTTTTGGATCTAAGTTTATCTTGTTGTACAAGTTGTTAGACATAAACCAAATCTTCATAGCTTGCGGGGGACTAAATTTGTATCCTTGTGCATGTTGTCAAAGATAGATCAGGCTATTCTAATGTTCATTCTGTACTCTTTTTTTTTAAACTAGCTTGCAGTGTTGTGTAGTATAATGGTAAGATGAACAAGCTGATACGACTCATCAAATTCTCCTTTTATGTCAATGGTAGTAATGTTGTACACATTCTCAATACATGACTCATCATATTCCCTTTTTATGTCAATGGTTGCAATTATGTGCAAGTTATTAATTAATATTGGACTAGTAATAGCTTTACATGGTCTTAATTGATTCACTCTAAATTACATTTGAAGGTTTGTTCTCGCTTTAATTCATTAATTTATTAAACTAAGTTTGTATGTATTATTTGTAACATTTGATGCATTTAGTTGAAGTTGTTCATGATAACTGTTTGGTAAAAGCTTTAATTTGACTATAAGCATGAGGAGAATTTAACACGGATTGCAACAAGGAAATACAATAAAAACTCCGAATAGTAGGTTCATTAGTATCTAGAGTTTTGATCTCTTTAATCCCACTTTTATAAATTTTAGCATCAAGATCTAAAAACTCCGAATTTTTGGAACGCCTTCTAGGTAAAGGTGGATCATATTCAGTCCCATCATTATCAAGATTCATATTGCAAAACAAAGATTTAATAGGGGACACATCAATAACTTTTAGATCTTCATCTTTATTATCATGGAAACTAGAAGAACACGCTCTTATAAAGGAATCTTTCTTAGCACGCATCCTAGCGGTTCTTTCTTTGCACTCATCAATGGAAATTCTCATGGTTTTGAGAGACTCATTGATATCATGCTTAGGTGGAATAGATCTAAGTTTCAAAGAATCAACATCAAGAGAAATTCTATCAACGTTCCTAGCCAACTCATCAATCTTATGCAAATTTTCTTCAATCAAAGCATTGAAATTCTTTTGTGAAATAATAAATTCTTTAATAGTATATTCAAAATCAGAGGGCATTATTATAATTTCCATAAAAATTATTGTAGGAATTACCATAATTATTAGAGGAATTACTAGGATAAGGCCTAGGATTAAATTTTCTCTATACGCGTTGTTACCAAAATTGTTCCTACCAACAAAATTCACATCCTTAGATTCATTATTATTCTCAACCAAAGTAGACAAAGGCGTATCATTTGGATCAGAAGAAACACTTTTATTAGAAAATAATTTCATAAGTCATCCATCTTTCCACTCAAAACATTAATTTCTTCTATGACATGCACTTTTTTATTAGTAGATCTTTCAGTGTGCCATTAAGAATAATTAACCATAATATTATCTAGGAGTTTAGTAGCTTCTCCTAAAGTGATTTCCATAAAAGTGCCTCCCGCGGCCGAATCTAAAAGATTTCTAGAAGAAAAATTCAATCCAGCGTAAATTTTTTGTATAATCATCCACAAATTCAAACCATGTGTTGGGCAATTACGTATCATTAATTTCATCCTCTCCCAAGCTTGTGCAACATGTTTATGATCAAGTTGCTTAAAATTCATAATATTGTTTCTAAGAGAGATGATCTTAGCGGGAGGAAAATACTTAGAGATAAAAGCATCTTTGCACTTATTTCATGAATCAAAACTATTTTAGGCAAAGACGAAAACAAAGCTTTAGCACGAACTCTAAGAGAAAAAGGAAATAGCTTCAATTTAACAATATCATTATCCACATCTTTCTTCTTTTGCATATCACACAAATCAACGAAGCTATTTAGATGGGTAGCGGCATCTTCACTAGGAAGGCCGGAAAATGGATCTTTCATGACAAGATTCAGCAAGGCAGCATTAATTTCACAAGATTCAGCATCGGTAAGAGGAGAAATCAGAGTGCTAATAAAATCATTGTTGTTGGTATTGGTAAAGTCACACAATTTAATGTTATCTTGAGCCATCATGACAAGCAAGCAATCCAACACACAAGCAAACGAGAAACGGGCAAAAAGAGGCAAATAGAGAAAGAGAGGGAGGATAGAGAGAGAGGGCGAATAAAACGGCAAGGGTGAAGTGGAGGAGAGGAAAACTGTAACACCCCGGATATGATTTTCCCAATATGTACTCCAACTCTTGCCGTTTCCGGCGTTAAGTTATTTTATTTTCTCGGGTTCGGGTCTTTGTCTCCGTGTGTTGTTATCGTTGTCATGCATCTCATATCATGTCATCATGTGCACTGCATTTGCATACATGTTCATCTCATGCATTCGAGCATTTTCCCCGTTGTCCGTTTTGCATTCCGGCGCTCCGTTCTCCTCCGGTGGTCATTTCTACCTTTCTTTCGTGTGTGGGGATTAAACATTTCCGGATTGGACCGAGACTTGCCAAGCGGCCTTGGTTTACTACCTGTAGGCCGCCTGTCAAGTTTCGTACCATTTGGACTTCGTTTGATGCTCCAACGTTTAACCGAGGGACCGAAAAGGCCTCGTGTGTGTTGCAACCCAACACCTCTCCATTTTGGCCCAAAACCCACCAAAACCTTCTCCATCATCTAGAGCGTTCAATCACGATCGCATGGCCGAAAACCGCACTCCATTTGGAGCTTCCTAGGTTCTCCTACCTATGAAACTAGACCTTCCCCCCGAAATTTTGGGTCAAAACACCCCTAAACCTAGCCTCTTCCACCTCCCGCCGCCGGACATGTCCGGAGCAGACCGGACATGTCCGCCCGCTGCCGCCCGACCTACCGCGCTCCGCCACATTGCGCCGGCGCGCCCCACATCGCAGAAGCCCGTCGGGCCCAACCCCGGCCCCCGCGGCCCGCTCCGCCCCGCCTCCTCTCCGGCTCACCGTGCCGCTCCTCTACTCCGTCTCCGGCGACCCGCGCCACCGCGCCGCAGCTCAACCTCGCCGGCGACCGCGCCGCTCCGGTCGCCACCCCGCCGCGCTACCTCGTCGACGACCGCGGCCGCCTCCTCCTCACCGGCCATTGCCGCCCCACTCCGGCGCCTCCTCTCTCGGGCCGCCTCGCCGTCCAACTCCGGTCGGCCCAAATCCGGCGTCGAACCTCGGACTCCATGCCGCTACAGTACTCGCGAGATCCCAATCTGGATCTGGAAACTCCCTCTTGGTTGACTTTTTCGTCCCTAACCCTAGTTTTTGTGCGTTTTTCATCATGCTATATCTCCGTATCGATAGCTCCGTTTTGGGCATATAGCATATCAAAATGTTCATCTCAGAGAGTACATCATTTCATCTCATTGCATCATTTTCATTTGAGTTCATCTTGATGCCCAAAATGCTGTTGGAAGAGTGCTATTTGAGATAATTGTCAGATCTGATGCTCCAATTAGATATTTGTCATTTTTGCCATGATTATTGTGTGCATGATATGCCCCTGAGCTCTACATGAGTTTTGTTACATGTTTTGCCATCTATCTAGAGGTGCAACCCATGTATTTTTGTGATGTGTGTGGTGACCAGCACAAGCTTGCAAAGTGGAGCATTCGTTAATGCTGATTTCAGGGACAGCATTTCCACTAAGTCCTTGGACTGGTTATCTCAATATGCCATATGTTCATGTTGATTCCTAGTGATCCGTGCCTCTTTTGAGGATGATCAGTAAGGATGTTTTGTTAATCTTGTACTGCTCTATCCATATATGTCTTTGTTTGCAATTATGGAGCACCCTAGATTGAGTCAATCGAGCTCTACTTTTGCTATTTCGTGAATCTGGGCAGATTGTCTACTTGTTAGCAATTTTGCCGATGATGTTGTAGTTGATCCGTGCATGCTATGTTATTGTTCGTGCCATGTCTAGCTTGTATTTTGTGTATTCTTGATGTGTGTATGCTTAGATTGTCATGACTTGCTCTGTAGTGAGTGCATCGAGCTCGTAAACATGCTTACTTGATATCTGTTTTAGCATGCTCCAGTTTTCACTAAGTCTGAGAACTGATTATGTTTTTGCCATGTTCACATGCTTGCAAATGTATTTTCTGATCCATTTTGGATCAAGGTCACTAAGGGACTTTTATTAAGCTCTTTGAGTACCTCCATGCCATGCTTTACTTTGTCATGTTCAGGTCCTGTAGCATATTGTTTTCATGCTCCAAAGAGTGCTATCTGATATGAAATTCCAGACAAGTGTTAATTTCACTAAGTCTGAAATCTGTTTACCAACTTTCAGCAGCAGTTATGGAAGTTGAATTTCTATTAAAGTGTCTAATTGTGGTTTTAGTTTTTTTGGTTTCATTTTTTTCATGAAGAATTTGTTAATTGTGTATTTTGATATATTTCAGTGGGTGAAAATGAAATGAATTTGACAATAAAATATTACTTCCGCTAAATTTAGGAGATCCGTTAGGTGCAGCCAAAACTTAGTTGAGTAAATTTACTCCACAAATCTTTTACTCGGCCGATTACACCGCTATTTTTTAGGGCATCAGTTAAAGATACACTTTACATGAACAAATTTGGACCATAGAATATACTTGGTACACCCGCTGTTCCTTAATATAGGACATTTTGGCAGTTCATTTTAAACCGCCAAACGTCTTATATTTATACACATAGGTAGTAGAACATAGACCACTCGTGTTTTAGTTTCAACTATCATTAATTGTTGGAACATAGATCATTTGAGTCTAATCGGGTTAATAGTTCTTTCAGTTTCCACTACCATTAATTTTTGGATGGGCTCAGGGATCTGTGACAGATTTGTTTGAATTTATATTAGTTCCGGGCTACAGATTTTTCAAAAACAAATCATAGTTTTATCATTGTGACAGTTCGTACAAGGTAGAATATCTTGTTTTGCTTAGTTTTAGTAGTTTGCTGGGCTATGTGGTCAACAATTGATCACACATTCTACTCAAATTTATATCCTACTATTTGTTTCCCACACTTGTCTTTCAAACTGTCCACTGCTTACGTTGATTTTCAACTTTAACTATGCAAGAAACGAGTACAATAGTAAATTTGTTTAGCTCAAAACTATTATATCCTGTTGAGTTATATAAATGTGTGTACATGTAACAGTTGGGGGCTAAGATGTAACAGACGATATCCATGTAGAATATAGAGAGGAGGCTGGATAAGGCGCTCCAGTTTTTCCCCATTCCAGTTCTTACGAGAGTGGTTCTTCTACACCCACTCCCGGTGCACCCACGATGCACCCACGCAAGAAAACATATCAAAACATTTCGAAAAAATCTGAAACTTCGTGGAAATGATCATCAACAAATGTTATGGGGGCTTGCAAAATTTGGTGGTAAAACAACATTCGAGGAGCTCTCTACAAAAAAGACAAAATCACTGAAAATTAGTCAAAATGTACGTGCACCGTTTGAGCATATATTGCAATTTTGTCTTTTTTGTAGAGCGCTTCTCGAATGTTATTTGACCACCAAACTTTGCAAGCCCTCATGACATTTGTTGATGATCATCTCCACGAAGTTTCAGATTTTTTTGAAATGTTTTGATATGTTTTCTTGCGTGAGTGCACCGTGGGTGCACCGAGAGTGGGTGCAGCCACTACTTTCCCCAGTTCTTACTCCTACAATATTTCCTTGATTCAGAACATATCCTTCTAAGGAACTTTCTACACAGACTGATTTCTCATCTGTTTGGAGACCATAACCGCAAATGCAATATTTGCTTTGTGTTCATAGATTGAGACAAGTCAATATCACAATGCATATTTAAAGAGATAACAACTGAGTTATTCTACAGGTAAAAGAAATTTCTACAATCAATTAAAACTAATGCAACTTATGCTTTGTTTGTCACATATAAATTGTTTCCATCTCTGCACGAAATCATATCAAGTGTTTGGTTCTTGCTATTGTGACTAATTATTTTCTCTTGCTCACCGCATGGTTTATCTTTTACCATGTGGCAACTTTGGTTTGATTTTCACCTCTTTGGAGTCCCCTAAAATTTGCTTTTGAAGAATGCTTCGGTGCCACCAAACTCAAAATTGCACCAATGCAAAAATAATCAGATTAACATTTAGAGTGATGGATGGTTTCTAATCAGCCTCTTATTTTGTTACTAAAATGGCCCTTTCACTTCTAGACATTGAAATACATCGAATTATTATCGTGTGCAATGTTCAGGAAATCCCTAACTGATAGCGCTCGGTCGGCTTGGGAGCAGTAACTAATATATCAATCAACCTATTAACTAGATTAATACATCGACCATTAATTGATAGATTAAATAGTAACCTGCCAGCAGAAGTAGCTAGCTATTGATGTGTAAGGCTAGGATTGCGGTTAGGAACGAACATGAAAATAAAAAGTGAATGGAACAGTGAAAAGCGAATCTAGCAAACAAGAACTTTGTTTGTGTTTTATTCTGAAGCTTGAACTAGCTCTGGTCGGGGTCACACATGATGGTGCACGCCACTTTATTCCTCATCGCTACAAAGACTGGTGCATCAGCTAAGCAACGATGATCCATCTACCTATTAGCATAACTCTTCCATTTTTCATTGTCCACTGATGCCGGCGACTATGCTGGCAAATGGTGCGTTGATGGTGGAGCAGTCAGGTCGGACATACACGTTGCACATGTTTGGAAGGGTTCTCAATACCAATGACCTGATCACCTCATATTGAGCTGGTTGTTGAGGTTGGATGATGCCCTGACCTTGGATGAGCTGAAACAGTGGCCGGAGGATCTGTATGCCTTGTTGTTGTTCTTGCTGCATGACGATGGAATGCACGACGCTATGGATGGCTGCACACTGGAGCTGGCGAGGAATCTGTGCTAGTTGTTGGCAACATTGTTGCTGCATCACCTGGCAATCACTTCGTGGCAAGATCATTGACACGAGGGATGACACCAATGACACAGGGTTGCATTGCTGTAAGAGGTAATTCTTGCAAGGGTTCATCTGTTGTTGTAGATATGGCTGAATCAACGGTTGTTGTTGCTGGGGGAATGATTGTTGCGGTTGTTGGGGCTGGGGAAAAGGTTGTTGTGGTTGCTGTGACTGGGGAAATGGTTGTTGGGGTTGTTGAGGCTGGGGGAATGGTTGTTGTGGTTGTTGAGGAAATGGTAGTTGGGCTTGTTGGGGTTGGGGAAATGGTTGTTGTGGTTGCTGGGGCTGCGGAAATTGTTGTTGTGGTTGCTGGGGCTGGGGAAATTGTTGTTGTGGTTGATGGGGGAATGTTTGTTGGGGTTGGGGAAATGTTTGTTGTGGTTGCTGGTAGAATGGTTGTTGGGGCTGGCGGAATGGTTGTTGTTGTGGCCATTGTACTTGGCCGCTGGGGTCGACCTGCATATTCGCGGTGGCGATAGTTGTTGCCATCGCAAGGATTGTTAGGATGAATAAGGTCTTCATGGTGGATTTGTGTTGGCTACTACTTAATTGGATTTGATACTTGTGCTCTAGTTGTGTGAAGGATGGATGATGGTATGGAGTCTACATATTGCATCCTTTTTATAGCTACCATGGTTAGGTTTCTTTTCATTATAGCTTTTATTTTTTTAAAGTGATTTGATGCTTATCAAACTGATTATTTGGTGTGTTGTGTTTGGTGGCACTACATACAAATGTAATTTTGGAGTGGTCATCAAAGTTGCCTTTTATTGTACATATCATCTAAGAGTGACGAAAACATGATAATTGGCACTGACTCATCTTATCGACTTTACATGTCAAACAATTATCTGGATTGCAATCCTTTTGGATCTAAGTTTATCTTGTTGTACAAGTTGTTAGACATAAACCAAATCTTCATAGCTTGCGGGGGACTAAATTTGTATCCTTGTGCATGTTGTCAAAGATAGATCAGGCTATTCTAATGTTCATTCTGTACTCTTTTTTTTAAACTAGCTTGCAGTGTTGTGTAGTATAATGGTAAGATGAACAAGCTGATACGACTCATCAAATTCTCCTTTTATGTCAATGGTAGTAATGTTGTACACATTCTCAATACATGACTCATCATATTCCCTTTTTATGTCAATGGTTGCAATTATGTGCAAGTTATTAATTAATATTGGACTAGTAATAGCTTTACATGGTCTTAATTGATTCACTCTAAATTACATTTGAAGGTTTGTTCTCGCTTTAATTCATTAATTTATTAAACTAAGTTTGTATGTATTATTTGTAACATTTGATGCATTTAGTTGAAGTTGTTCATGATAACTGTTTGGTAAAAGCTTTATTTTGACTATAAGCATGAGGAGAATTTAACACGGATTGCAACAAGGAAATACAATAAAAACTCCGAATAGTAGGTTCATTAGTATCTAGAGTTTTGATCTCTTTAATCCCACTTTTATAAATTTTAGCATCAAGATCTAAAAACTCTGAATTTTTGGAATGCCTTCTAGGTAAAGGTGGATCATATTCAGTCCCATCATTATCAAGATTCATATTGCAAAACAAAGATTTAATAGGGGACACATCAATAACTTTTAGGTCTTCATCTTTATTATCATGGAAACTAGAAGAACACGCTCTTATAAAGGAATCTTTCTTAGCACGCATCCTAGCGGTTCTTTCTTTGCACTCATCAATGGAAATTCTCATGGTTTTGAGAGACTCATTGATATCATGCTTAGGTGGAATAGATCTAAGTTTCAAAGAATCAACATCAAGAGAGATTCTATCAACGTTCCTAGCCAACTCATCAATCTTATGCAAATTTTCTTCAATCAAAGCATTGAAATTCTTTTGTGAAATAATAAATTCTTTAATATTATATTAAAAATCAGAGGGCATTATTATAATTTCCATAAGAATTGTTGTAGGAATTACCATAATTATTAGAGGAATTACTAGGATAATTCCTAGGATTAAATTTTCTCTATACGCGTTGTTACCAAAATTGTTCCTACCAACAAAATTCACATCCTTAGATTCATTATTATTCTCAATCAAAGTAGACAAAGGCGTATCATTTGGATCAGAAGAAACACTTTTATTAGAAAATAATTTCATAAGTCATCCATCTTTCCACTCAAAACATTAATTTCTTCTATCACATGCACTTTTTTATTAGTAGATCTTTCAGTGTGCCATTAAGAATAATTAACCATAATATTATCTAGGAGTTTAGTAGCTTCTCCTAAAGTGATTTCCATAAAAGTGCCTCCCGCGGCCGAATCTAAAAGATTTCTAGAAGAAAAATTCAATCCAGCGTAAATTTTTTGTATAATCATCCACAAATTCAAACCATGTGTTGGGCAATTACGTATCATTAATTTCATCCTCTCCCAAGCTTGTGCAACATGTTTATGATCAAGTTGCTTAAAATTCATAATATTGTTTCTAAGAGAGATGATCTTAGCGGGAGGAAAATACTTAGAGATAAAAGCATCTTTGCACTTATTTCACGAATCAAAACTATTTTAGGCAAAGACGAAAACAAAGCTTTAGCACGAACTCTAAGAGAAAAAGGAAATAGCTTCAATTTAACAATATCATTATCCACATCTTTCTTTGCATATCACACAAATCAACGAAGCTATTTAGATGAGTAGCGGCATCTTCACTAGGAAGGCCGGAAAATGGATCTTTCATGACAAGATTCAGCAAGGCAGCATTAATTTCACAAGATTCAGCATCGGTAAGAGGAGAAATCAGAGTGCTAATAAAATCATTGTTGTTGGTATTGGTAAAGTCACACAATTTAATGTTATCTTGAGCCATCATGACAAGCAAGCAATCCAACACACAAGCAAACGAGAAACGGGCAAAAAGAGGCAAATAGAGAAAGAGAGGGAGGATAGAGAGAGAGGGCGAATAAAACGGCAAGGGTGAAGTGGAGGAGAGGAAAACTGTAACACCCCGGATATGATTTTCCCAATATGTACTCCAACTCCGCCCCGCCTCCTCTCCGGCTCACCGCGCCGCCCCTCTCCTCCGTCTTCGGCGACCCGCGCTACCGCGCCGCAGCTCGACCTCGAGGCGACCGCGCCGCTCCGGTCGCCGCCCCGCCGCGCTACCTCGTCGACGACCGCGGCCGCCTCCTCCTTACCGGCCGGCGCCGCCCCACTCCGGCGCCTCCCTCTCTCTGGCCGCCTCGTCGTCCAACTCCGGCCAGCCCAAATCCGGTGACGAACCTCGGACTCCATGCCGCTACAGTACTCGCGAGATCCCGATCTGGATCTGGAAACTCCCTCTCGGTTGACTTTTTCTTCCCTAACCCTAGTTTTTGTGCGTTTTTCATCATGCTATATCTCCGCATCTGTAGCTCCGTTTTGGGCATATAGCATATAAAAATGTTCATCTCAGAGAGTACATCATTTCATCTCATTGCATCATTTTCATTTGAGTTCATCTTGATGCCCGAAATGCTGTTGGAAGAGTGCTATTTGAGATAATTGTCAGATCTGATGCTCCAGTTAGATATTTGTCATTTTTGCCATGATTATTGTGTGCATGATATGCCCCTGAGCTCTACATGAGTTTTGTTATATGTTTTGCCATCTATCCAGAGGTGCAACCCATGTATTTTTGTGATGTGTGTGGTGACTAGCACAAGCTTGCAAAGTGGAGCATTCGTTAATGCTGATTTCAGGGACTTAGCATTTCCACCAAGTCCTTGGACTGGTTATCTCAATATGCCATATGTTCATGTTGATTCCTAGTGATCCGTGCCTCTTTTGAGGATGATCAGTAAGGATGTTTTGTTAATCTTGTAGTGCTATATCCATCTATGTCTTTTTTTGCAATTATGGAGCACCCTAGCTTGAGTCAATCGAGCTCTACTTTTTCTATTTCGTGAATCTGGGCAGATTGTCTACTTGTTAGCAATTTTACCGAGGATGTTGTAGTTGATCCGTGCATGCTATGTTATTGTTCGTGCCATGTCTAGCTTGTACTTTGTGTATTCTTGATGTGTGTATGCCTAGATTGTTATGACTTGCTCTTTAGTGAGTGCATCGAGCTCGTAAACATGCTTACTTGATATCTATTTCAGCATACTCCAGTTTTCACTAAGTCTGAGAACTGATTATGTTTTTGCCATGTTCGCATTCTTGCACATGTATTTTCTGATCCCTTTTGGCTCAAGGTCACTAAGGGACTTTTGTTAAGCTCTTTCAGTACCTCCATGCCATGCTTTACTTTGTCATGTTCTGGTCCTGTAGTATAGTGTTTTCATGCTCCAAATAGTGCTATCTGATCTGAAATTCCAGACAATTGTTAATTTCACTAAGTCTGAAATCTGTTTACCAAATGCATTTTTGCCACGCTTGTTTGAACCTGTTAATGGATGAATTGGCCGTAGCTCAGTGCTAGTCTTTTGTTAAGCATCATGAGTGGATCCCTGCCATGTATTTTTTTTGTCATGTTTGGGTGCCGTGGAATGTTCATCTTGTTGCATTTAGATGGCTACTTGCTGTAAATCGCAGAACGTGGTCATATTTGAATTGCTTGCCATTTCCAAACCGTAGCTCCGATTCCGGCGTTCTTTATATCGTTTTCAAGCGATTTCATCTCACCTTTCTAGTGGCACACTTGGATTTCCATGTTGAGGCCAGGTTCATTCATTCCTCGTCAAGTCTTGCATATGCATCCCATATTGCATCCTGCATAACATATCATCTTTGCATCATGTTGTTTGAGTTTGCATGTGGTTGATTGTGTCCTTGTTGCTTATTTGTCTTGTTTGGGTAGAGACAGGAGATGAGTTCGCTAACGAGGAGCCCGTTGAGTTTGCTTTCGAGGATCCAGTCAACTCTGACAACTTTGCAGGCAAGATGATCATACCCTTGAAATCACTACTATCTTTGCTTTGCTAGATGCTCGCTCTTTTGCTATGCCTATGCTACGATGCCTAACACTTGCTTATCATGCCTCCCAAATTGCCATGTTCAACCTATAACCCACCATGTCCTAGCAAACCATTGATTGGCTATGTTACAGGTGAAGATTGGAGACCGTTCCTTGTTGGAACATTATTTACTTGTTGGGATATCATTATATTGCCATGTTATCTTAATGCATCTATATACTTGGTAAAGGGTGGAAGGCTCGGCCTCTCGCCTAGTGTTTTGTTCCACTCTTGCCGCCCTAGTTTCCGTCATATCGGTGTTATGTTCCTGGATTTTGCGTTCCTTACGCGGTTGGGTGATAATGGGAACCCCTTGATAGTTCGCCTTGATTAAAGCTTTTCCAGCAATGCCCAACCTTGGTTTTTCCATTTGCCACCTAGCCTCTTTTTCCCTTGGGTTTCCGGAGCCCGAGGGTCATCTTATTTAAACCCCCCCGGGCCAGTGCTCCTCTGAGTATTGGTCCAACCTAGAGCCCCTTGCAGCGCCACGTCGGGGAAATTCGAGGGCTGGTTTATTTGTACGAATTGCTTATCCGATTGTTCCCTGAGA